AGTCCGCAGACATACCGCTGTGCCACTGGGGGGGGGGGCTGCAAAATAGGTATCCTAGAATATTGCCTGTTTTTTTTTGTTGTTGTTATTTTGTTAATTTATTTCATTTCCTTGCATTTAGCAAAATTAAACAAACATATATTTTGTCTAAAAATATTATAGACACCCTTGGAAAATCTTTTAAGGTACATACTCCTTTTTCCAATTTTTTTGCATTTCGTTTCTTAAAATACTCGCGCCCTCTACTTGCGATAAAAATAACGAGTCATCAACAATAAAATGCACTTTGGTTGTTCGTCTTTTTCTTCTACCTAAATCAGCGAGAGATTTTGTTTGTTTGTTAGTGTTAGAATATTTTATTCACAACAAGAAAACCTCTTTGTGGAGCATCAACGGTTTCTCTACGTAAATGGCCTCGGGACCAAAAGAATAAACAAACAAAACATTTGTCAATTACATTTCGTAACAACATATCACTACGGTGCGTAACCAGCTTCATAAATATGTTATATCGAACAAAAGACTCTTTGGCCAGTAATATAAGTCAGTATTACCAACCAGAAAGGCACCTGATACGTACAAGAGCTAATCAATCAGGTTAGAGAACCCTAGGTTTAAGGTGTGTCCGTCTTTAATTTGAAAATATTGACCACTCGGCAAAACCGAATAACGGGATTGACTGTCTTCTTTATACTGCGGCAAGTGGTCAGTGGCATCACATATCAAAGCCTATAACTTTTGATCCCCAGTCTGACATGCTAATCACTAGGTCAAGCCCGGCCCACCCATAACGAGGGGTGTGAATACAACTTATAATATAATAAAATGTAACATAATATCACACCTAGCTAATATAACATCACACCTAGTTAATATAACATCACACCTAGCTAATATAACATCACACCTAGTTAATATAACATCACACCTGGTTAATATAACATCATACCTAGTTAATATAACATCACACCTGGTTGATATACCATCATACCTAGTTAATATAACATCACACCTACTTAATATAACATCACACCTGGTTAATATAACATCACACTTAGTTAATATAACATCACACCTGGTTAATATAACATCACGTCTAGTTAATATACCACCAAACCTAGTTAATATAACATCATTTTAAATGTATCACCATTTAGTCGTCTTTAAAATTTTGGTTTTAAGTAATTTCGATTTAAACAAAACAATGGCTGAGGTATTTTAATTCAATCAACTCAGAACACGATTTTTATCATATTTTATTCGTATCAGTTTCACGTTTCTATGACAACGAATAAATCGCCTGTACAAAGCTAATCAATATACTTTTCTAAACTTATCCTTGGTTGTGGAAGAAGAAAATAAAATAAAAAAGTCAGAGAATCATATTTCATCGCGAAGTTCGTTCACTTCGTAATAACAAAATAATGACGCGCGACAAAACGACGCACATTTATATCTATTACTTTTCACAGTATTAATCAAAGCTTATTCTTAGCTTTGGGAACGGAAAATCAACACTTGTTTTTATTTTCTTTTTATAACTTGGGGTGTTCCAAACCATCATTACAACTAGTAAAGTCAGAATATTTTCGATTTCTTATGGAATCTAAACCTTTACTTGGATAATATGCTTCCATATCCTCTCCTCTTTTAATGCAAATAATAATAATAATGGCTCATCGAAAATCATAAGAAACATTATTATGTTGGAGGGTGACACGCTGGACTATCTGGTCGAACAATTATTTGCACTTTGGTATTTTCAATCTGAACTACACCTTATGCGTTAAACGGCCAAGTCAAAGACTACAAAGTTCAAAACAAAAACATATAACTTACAACTGCTGAACAGGGAAAAACAATTAGTCAGCAATACCCTCCGCCGTCTATGCCGTAAATTTTAACCTAATAGTGGGTTGACCTCCACAATTATAGCGCCACCACATCTGAACTTGAAGAGTGTATTCAGTAAAATATAGCGGGCTCGACCCTTGGACTATCCGAATAGAAACTCGACATGTTAACCAGCATTTGGATGTGAGAATCTTCAAGCAGACTTCGATATGATGGGCTGGATGCCGAGTGTACGCCACTACGTTCCACGCTCTTATCTTTAGGAGAAGTGAGTATTTCCACAGAATTGGGCACAATTCATCATCACAGAATCCACTGCTTACACGAATCCTCCTTGGTAGTATACTTCACAAGAGACTGTTCGAGAATTCTGAAACCGGTCGTGAATATCTCTACTACTTTATTTGAACTAAACTAGTGCTAAATACTGCGGTAGGACGCCCAACTCCTTCCACATCTAACAGGTATTAGCGCTAATTGTCAGGTGGGTGCCGGGAAGAGCTGTATCGATAGTTTTGGGCGACCAGTTCAATGCCCAAACACTATCAGGGACCTCGCAATCTATTTAATATATATTTGCCGCCCTGTGTCACAGCGGTATGTCTGCAGACTTACAACGCTAGGAACCGGGTTTCGATACGCGTGGTGAGCAGAGCACAGGTAGCCCATTGTGTAGCATTGTGCTTAATTCCAAACAAACGGCCGGGCATGGCCGTGTGGTTAGGGCGCTTGACTCTCAGTCTGCGGGTCGCGGGTTCGAATCCCCGTCACACCAAACATGCTCGCCTTTTCAGCCACGAGGGCGTTATAATGTGACGGTCAATCCCACTATTCGTTGGTAAAAGAGTACCCCAAGTGTTAGCAATGGGTTGGTGTTTACTAGCTGCCTTCCCCCTAGTTTATCACTGATAAATTAGGGACGCCCTCGTGTAGCTTTGCGCGAAATTGAAAAAACAAAACAAAAACAAACAATCCAAACAAACAAACAATAATATATATTTAAAGAAATAGGGGAAGATTATCATGAAGAGTAACACAATAATTCATTATTTCTCAAGCTGACTGTGTTTGTTATTCTTGCTAACTGAATTAATTACACTAAGCATTAGCTCATTCATTGTCAGGGTTTTGAATATGGACTGAGATTCTTTTACAGTAGGTGCCTGTGACTTGTTGGCGATAAATTCGAACAATAAACGGACAGCACACAATCCACTTGTTTTAAAATAATATATTCAAAACAAGTAAAAAAAAATTATTTATACTATAGGGTATCACAGTTGTATTTAAAACTCTAAATAAACGATAAATTCACTTACGTCACCCCCGTGGGTTACCACAGTTGTATCCAGAACTTTAAATAATTGTCTCCTTTTCGTCAAAGTCCACACAGACGGGTTTAATTACTTTAAAACACCCTTTGGCAAGACAAAGTATTCTCCTTATCTCTGTTAAATTCTGAAACTCACTTTAGATATCGCCCGTTACAGTTAAACTAACAATCACACAGTCTAATTTCACTTTCACCAACTTAGCTGTTTGTGACTGAACTTAATTTGTTGGTTACAACAGTTTATCCAGAACTTTAAATAATTGTCTATTTTTTTTCGTCAAAAGTCCACACAGACTGGTTCAGTTACTTTAAAACCCAATTGACTAGAAAATTGTTTTTCCGATCTATGTTTATAGAATACAGCTTTGAAACACACTTTAGAAATCACCCGTTAAGGCTAATCACTCATACGCTAGCTAACTTTACATTTTCTTTCATTAACTAATTTTTTCTTAACTTGACTCACTTGGTCGCCTATATGTATACCTTTTCCAACAGAGGCCTCGAACTTTTTACAAACTACGAGACGACATGGTGTAACAATACTCACTTAATGCAACGAGAAAATACAGAAGGTTCGAGTAACGTGACGTTAAGTTACAACAATTGAACTACACACACAACGTACAACTCTTACCGAGTTACGTAACGAAATTTGTTCAACTATCGCTTTTAAAATAATTACTTTTAACTCCCTTGTTATGAAAACTGAATAATCATTAAATAAACTAAATAGTAATTCTTACACTAAACAGTCTTCTATATTCAACATTCATAATATTCTAAGCCTACACTTCGATATACCTGTATGCTTTGTTAATACCCATAAAGACATCTTCGATGGTATTACTTAAACAAAAAGGAGGTTCGATAATATGAACATGTAATGGCTAGTTTTATATCAAGTGTTTGGTGAGGCAGAATGTTTGTACTTTATACTGAAATAGCGAAACGTAAAACTTAATGGTTAGATGAAAACTGAAGCTGGACGTGGTTATCGTGCCAAGATTGTAAATCCGGTACCGCGAAACCACCACTTCATACTTTGGGGCATTAAAGGTGACAGTCAAACCCCACTAATCTGCCAGAATAGAGCAGCCCAAGAGTTGGCTGTGGATAATGTTGACCAGCTGCCTTTCCTATACCAGTTCAAACTTAGAACGGCTATATGTAGATAGCCCTGGCGGAGATTTGCGAGAAATTCTTAAACAAACAAAATTGGCAATATTTATGTATTCAAATTTGTTAGTGGCTACTGCTTAGCCCATGAACTAAAGAACGATCAGTTTTTTCTTGTTTCATATATTCCACTGGATTATATATGTTTATACTCGATTATTACCTGAAAAATTCATTGAGAAATAAAACAAAATTTTTAAAATCAAAATATTTTTAACGTAGAAGGTTGTACAGTCATACAGAAGATTCCAACTCTCTCTATTTATATATGTGTGTAAGAAAAGAATAGTGTACTAATTCTTTGTGGTTTTTATATTTCAGTCTTCCTGTTCCGTGGCTTCTGGCATGCTTTATTTTCGGACCAGTTACAGTCAGCAGTACAGGCATGACTTGTTATGTATTACTCTTATTTCTCATGGTTCTTTTTGTCATTATTTCCATTGCTGGATTCAAATGGCGTATGAACATTGGTTTAGCTTGTGTGATGTTTTTCCTGTACTTTGTTTTCATTGCTTTGTCTTTACTTTTAGAATATGGAATTATTTCTTGTGCAGCCATTATGGGTCCTTTTGGAGGAGGGTAAAATCAAAATAGATTATACGTCTTTAACTTAATAAATTAAATAGCGGGTATCGTTTTCAGACTTTTCAGTAGTAAGGTGTAACAAAGATTCACATGTAAAATTAATTTTTTTATCGTAACAATGAGAGATTTTTTTCACAGTTACAGTTAACAATAGAAGAGCTTTAATCCGTGACACTTGGAAGTTTTCAACTGGTTGAATAAAGATATCAGATGAATAACATAATATCTCTGATTTTAATTTTAAGGGAATGAAAGATACATCTTATATCACTTATGAATTAAAGGAAATTCCTTTTCGTTTCTTATTCTACTCTATGTTTTGTCTAATGGTGTAATTTTTGGAATAAAACGTGTTTGATTAGGAAGAAATCTCAAACCAACAAGCGTTTACAATAACAAAAGTATGTGAGTTTGAACTAACCTTTGTTCTTCTTAGATATAATCATGATACGATTGAACAGAAATTCAACAGTCCAGTTTGTGAACATCCCAAACATTTTGTTTCAAAATCGTACAAAACAGTAAAGATTTATATTAGAATTTACAAAATAATGCCCCATGTTTCCAGAGTATAGTACCGAAATTTGTACGTACAAATAGAAGGTGAAATAATGTCTGAGTTTATTTAAACTGCTTAACACTGATCTTTGTAGCTTGATGTTTTCTCTAGTTGTAAATAAAAACAGAATTATTTCAAACTCAATTACAATTTTAAATCGCATGACTTTACATTTCAATTTGATAATGGATAGTATTTCATGACAATCTTTATCCGTTAGATAACTAGAAACGGTCTGTACTGTTTTGCTGATGTAGCGTAAAATTCATGAAATTTGAACAAAAACTATCTTAAGTTAAAATTAATAATTTAAAAAAGTCGCCAACGATTGGTGATTTTTAATGAACAAACTACTGATGAAGTTGAACGAAATTATATCCAACCTCTCAACATCACACAAAAAATTCGTTTTTATCGAAGAACGAAGGAAGGAGAATTGTTATACGTTATTCTTTACTTTTAATCTTAAGTTCTCAAAAATAATTTTCAGAAAAACTGATTTTTTTAAAGCTGTTCAATAGTGGTTTGTCCATAAAAAAAACGAGCATCTTAAGAAAGAACATGGGGAGTTTTTCCGGTTTCTGGTGCTAAAGAGGTTATAAGGAGACTTGTATTAATATAATGTTTTATTTCTCAAACACATCAAAGTGTATAATTTCAGATCTCTATGTTGAATTCAAAACTAAGCGTGAATAGCCCTTTTGACAATTATTTTATTTCATTGTATCTATTTAAGGCTATGTTGTTGTTGTTGTTGTTGTTTTGTGAAGAAGTAGAGAAAGAAAGTAACTCATATTTAAACTTAATCATAAACAATACTTACAGTCCATAAGTGTGTTATCTGAGAACTGACGTAACAGCATCTTTATTTCTAAAGGAAAGTTTTTAGATACACTGAAATTTGTGTGATCATCACAACTTACTATTTAGATCTACTGAAAATATTTATTTATCAACATAATACGTTGACCACATTCATGTTTAGGATAATCCAAGATATAACCCAAATCCGTAGCAAAATCTCATATGGCGGGACGTTGCTACAAATTACGCCACTCTGAAGACGTGGTATGCTAAGTGCCGTATCTAAGTAAACCTACATCAAGAAGTCTTAAGATCATAGTGCACTTTTATCATATAGCAATCAAGTAGCATTGAATGTTTCAATCAGAACACGTGCATCAATAACTGACTGGTTGATTATCAAGAAAGCAATCTGTAGATTAGGTAACAAAATATTTTATTAAGGTCTCAGCAAAGTAGAATATTTTACAAAGCATATTATAAAGGAATTAACCAATTAACTTTAAATGACTAAGTGTTTCATCCAGGATCTAATCTAGCAGCAGTAAGTTACTACGTGTCTCATCCAGGATCTAATCTAGTAGCGTAAATTACTACGTGTCTCATCCAGGATCTAAACTAGCAACAGTAGGTTACTATGTGTCTCCTCCTGAATCTAATCGAGCAGCAGTAAGTTATTACGCGTCCAGTATAGAAGTATATTGCTAAGAGTGTTGTTAATGAGATCATAAGCTTCAGAAAGTGATTAGGTGTCTCATCAATGACGCGGTATGATTGTAGTCAGTGGTCATGCGTATCCCCACAGTAGTCTTCCATCGTGATTATTGTGATCACACCTATAGAACGAAGATTTTGAAAGAAGTAAAATGCCACCATTGATAGTTTTCGTCTGAGCACTAACTTCAATGATTAATAACTTATAGTCACGTAAATACGCGTACACTTGTTAATTCAGTCTCATGCACTTGTTTACAGTATATATATATATTAGATGTAAACTCTAACAGTATCTTGACACTTTCTATCAAAGGTAGGTTACATGTTTGGGAAAGGATGTTTAAGAGAGCTTAAAGCTCAGATAACGATATATAATTTGCCACTTGATTTCAAGTATTAGCTTAGATTTATATCAAGATGGTTCTTACGCGATTTTGTAGCCTGGATTTATTAATATGATTCACGCATACGCTGAAGATGTTGGACAAACATGCGTAGTACATGCTGCTACATGTAAATTGATATCACTCATTTTCATGTTATATGTTATGCACGTATATTATCTTTAGTTTAGTATCCGTTTCTAAAGTCCAAGTTGGAAAGACAATAAGAAAATCACCGGTTAGTTTTAAAAGAACTCTGTAGTTATCATACATAGAGTTATGAGCTCAAGTTGGTAGTTGCTTTCCGTTCAGAGCAGTTGTGATTTCGCAGAATTATCACACTGTAGCCAGCGAAAATGAGAGTTTTTCATTCGACAGAAATTTCCTAGGTGATAACATTTGAGATATCACAGAGAAACAAAATAACTAAATCCAATATATAGAGCATTTATCTGAATTGTATGTCACACTAATGCTCTTTGAAAGTAAGCCATCTATTTAGCTTCTGTATTCGGAAGAAGAAACACTACAGCGTTAGATCCTATGTCAACAGCCTATTGAGACGTAGAATTTCAAGTCTATTTAACAAAAACGCTACTTTTCAAACTTCAATCGATAATTAAATGTTTACATAATAAATATTAACAGTGTGAATCTTTATATCTTGATTAGGTCTGAGCAGGCGCAATAATCTCTAAATTTAACGAACTTCTATGTCACAGGTTAATGCTTTAGGTCGACTTGTTTGAGTAAGCCAGCACACTATTTTCTGTACCACACCCCATTCGTAAATCACATGTGGAACAAACACGCTTCATTTGAAAAGAAATACACCAGTATTTCTTTAATAAAGAAACGAGAAAATTGAGATATTTATATAAACCTGCAAATACAAACCTAGATAGCTACCATGCTGTCTGACAGAGTTTTCTTTTACCAAAACGGGCACGTACGTAAACCAATATTTTAGTTGTGTTAGAGCTTATACTTGAGAATAAATAATATAACATTTTTGGGGTTAAATAGCATGATATATTTAGTAATAGCTGAGTGTTACAACATTCATTACGTGTTGTTTACGATGCACTAATGTTATCATAGGAAACCACTTAAGGAGAATGACTATATTTCTCTGACTTCTTTATATAAAGTTACCTGATACATAGCGTTATTGATAAATATTGAAATATATAAAATTTTAATTAGATATCTATGTATACATATATGTTGTAATTATACATTGTTACACCATTACTATTGTATTCTTGAAATATATATATATATATATCTATGTAACACAGGTGTTATATTCTCTTTTGACAGATTCAAGTCTAAGCAACTGACAGTGGTCAGTTTACTATTACACCTTTTTTCTCTCAGATTAATGTGTTCTAGAATAACAGAGAGAGTTGTGAGAAATATACTACACTTAGTTGTTCAGTTTTTTTTTTAACTTGATCATCTCATGTTCATTATTCTTTCCAATTTCTTTGAAACATGTTTAATGTCTTTAACATTACGTGTTGGTATTAATCGTTTTGAGACTTTTTTATGTTTTAAAATTTACGAAGTTCATAGAGGTAGTTTTGATAACACTGTATCTTAATGATAAATATAGTTATTGTTTATTTCATTTTCATGGAGAAGAGAAATGGTCTTTTTATTGTGAACATATTTTTTGTATATCCGCTACATGATTAACACGGTATGTATCTAATAATGTTTCTTTGTGAAGTCTGAGGAAATGTTTCGTTCTTTTCTGCTTAGTTTGAAGTGGTTGTTGTTGAGCGCGGAGCTACACAACAGACAGCTATCTGTGCTCTGCCCACCATGGGTATCGAAACTCGATTTTTAGCGTCGTAAGCCTGCAGACCTACCGCTGAACCACTGGAGGGCTTTACGTTAAGAACTGACAGTGCTTAATTCCGGCCAGATCTCTCTGAACTTGGGATCTAGAATTTGTTCAGGACTTTTTTTCTTGTAAATTTAAAGGCAAAAACACTAGTGAATTTTAAGACTGCCTCGTTTACATTATGAGTTGATATTTAACTGACGTTGTCAATTACATCCCTTCTTTCCACCAATCACAAATAGTAGTTTCAACAACCTTTAAACTGTTATCTTTAAAAACTCAAAACTATCATCTCCATCTGCCAATAGAGCTCCGGTCTCCTTTTCTTCTTCTTTTTCTATAAATTAAGCACTGTTTAAGAAGGTACACGAAAGTGATCGAAACACTGTCCTCATACTTATACAGCGATTGCCCTTAGAAACCTTTGAATATTTCTACAACAACCCCAAAGAATGTTTGATACAGATGAACAGGTTACAATGATCTATGAGCTGACGTTTAACGTTCGTGTTGAAGTACAAACTGGGGGAAGTGTATGAGAAGCTGCTGTGTTTGCAGAGTTTGATTTGAAACTTCAGTGAGTAGTTTTAGTTGTTCTTGTTCAAAATGTGTTTCTTAGAACGTTCATCAGGGAAGTTTTTAGATGAAAAGAAACTTGGCATTGAATATGTTCACATTGAAAAGACATAAGCATTTTTCAGATGGTGTCAACTTGATAAGGTAGACTAACTAGTTAAGGTAGCATTAAAAACGACATGAGTTTATGTATATGCTGTGCAGCAAACATAGTTTTCGCTTCTTCAATAAAATTTATTTATAGTCGTTTTTTTGTGCATCATTATTTGAAATGTTAGACTTTTATTTTTGCTTCACTACGTCCAAATAAATCAAATTCCTTAAGAGTTTGATTTGACTTTTACCATTCATTCTGGTTTCATACTTCTTAGTTTTATTTGATCGAGGAACTTTTGAAACTAGTTTACAGCTTAAATCATAAATAATATTCAACTTTAAACTGGTACAGAATTAAAAACAATTTAGTTAGGCCTATCTATGGCCTTCAAAAAGTTGAC